TGTGAGTTTGTGTGTGGTGCTGTGAGTGTGAGTGTGTGTTGGTGTGAGTGTGTGTGTGTGTGTGTGTGTGTGTGTGAGAGTGAGTGTGTGTGTGAGTGTGAGTGTGTGTTAGTGTGAGTGAGGGTTAGTGTGTGTGTGTGTGCATGTTAGTGAGTGTTAGTGTGTGTGAGTGTGAGTGAGTGAGTGAATGTGAGTGTGAGTGAGTGTGTGTGTGTGCATGTTAGTGAGTGTGAGTGAGTGTTAGTGTGAGTGTGTGTGAGTGAGTGAATATTAGTTTGAGTGTGAGTGTGTGTGTGTGTGTGTGTGTGTGTGTGCGCGCGTGAGTGTTAGTATGAGTGAGTGTTGGTGGGTGTGAATGTGAGTGTTAACATGAGCGAGTGAGTGTTAGCGGGGTGAGTGTTTGCGTGAGTGAGTGAGTGAGTGTTGGCGTTAGTGAGTGTTAGTGGGTGTGAGTGTTAGCGGCTCTATAGCAGATCAGAGGTGTAAAGGCCTCTGATCACATTCTCTTCAGATGGACTGAGCTCAGAGCGGCTGTGTGTGGCTGACACACACATTAAAGAGATGGATGACACTCCGTGTAGCGCTGCTGTGAGGAGGACACTGGCCCGTCCAGGAGATTTATTTCCTTTTCCTGTACTGAAGCTCAGACTGTGACGTTTATTAGCTCCTCTTTTTTTCTTAACCTGACCACATGTTCCAGCTCTTCAGATCTGTTAAGTCAAACACTTCATGTCTGTAGGGAGATCATACATCTATTCATGCACACCTGTCTGACTTGATTGTTGAAGTGAGAATGTGTGAAAATGATCTGTGAATACTTGAGTTTCAGATTAAGCATTGAGAATCTGGTTTTGTTTTGATGACGTGCATCTGTAGAGCTTCAGAGTAAAGGCTTAATATGGACCTTCATCTGAAAATTATGTTCATGTGAACGTGGTCCGATTGCTCTGATCTCATTCTGGTCTCAGCTGTCTCATGTTTGAGTTTCATTGACCAACAGTCTTATGCATTAGTTTCTTCCAATATTAAAGAAATCAACCAGAAGATCTATCAGAACCAAAAGGGTTTTACAGAATGAAGCCATAGAAGGAGGTTCTTAAGATCCAGAGTTGTTTTCTGGTTCTTTAGAAAAACATCTACAGTATGTTTTGATGCTTCAAAGAACCCTGGAACCGAAACATAAATCTGAAGAACCTATGATGAGAAATTGAAAACTTTTTTTTAAAGAGATGTGTAGGTCTGGCTGGATCTTACCGAAGTTTCACAGCATGAATGTGACCAGAGTTTAACTCCATCTGAATGAGCTGATTACTGCATGCTTAAAACACCGTGATCTAGAACCTCCGGACCTTTGTACTAGTTTTCCTTCAGGTCATCTGATGTTACTTAAAGAGCCGCGGCAGCAACTAAATGAGGTCAGAGAGTTTTTATACTGCCGATGCAGGTCAAGATCACAGCGGCCTCTCTTTACTGGAGCTGCATACGTCACATACTGTACAGTAATGTCTAGAAAAGTAGTCTCTTCTTTTAAGATTTGATCACTTACATAGTAAATAATCACAATTTGTCCTTGTGCATACCGCATCAGGTACTCTAAAATAATGACTGTATACTCTTTAAAATAAAGGTTTTAAAAGGTGGTTTCTAGAGCATTGCCATGGAACCACAGAACCATTTCTGGTTCCCCAAAGAACCTTTCAGTGATCAGTTCTTAAAAGAACTGTGTATGTGGGATTGGTTTGTTCCTGGTTTGGGTCAATCTGTACAGAAAATATGAAAAGACCCGTCTGTTTTTCTAAATCTGCTCATGTAATTGTAGTGTAGTTTTGGATGACTAGTGAGAGGGGAAGTTGGGAAAAACCTTCCATTGGGCTTTTCAGCTCGTGCCACTCTTATATTTTGGGTCTGTTTCAGTGTTTAATTCTGCGGTGAGTCACGACGCAGCTGTGTAACACGCTTAAGCAGCAGTGGGATGAGATGAGCAATGCTGTGATTTATTCAGGCTCGGCTCGTGAGAGCGCCGCTGCCAAACGTTTTCTGATCCCAATCCCACTGCTGTTTGGCTCTGTCAAAATATATGTGGTGGAACACTCAGGCCTGGACCTTCTTGTTGATGCTTTGTGCCTCTTACCGACTCACCTGCCTTCTCTGTGCAGACCATTGTCCGTGGGAGCCGGCCGCCAAAGGACGCCTCCATCAACGGCCTACTGGAGGAGTTTGACAGTATCTCCGTCACCCGCTCCAACTCTCTGAGGAAAGAGAGTCCGCCTGGAGCCCATCAGTCCGGCGGGAGCAAGCCAGCGTCTGCGTCCACGTCCAACGCCGGTGGATCAGAGGAGAACGGCTTCGGACACTATTACGGGCGCTTCTCGTGCGACCTGGACAGTAGTAAAGACTTCTCGCTGGAGGCGTACCGCGACCGAAGCGCCCATGACGGCGAGTGGGCGGTCGGACGGCACTACCGCTTCTCTCTCAGACAGAATGGCCATCCCATCCGTAGCCCCTTCTATCCCGATGCCATGCCGCAGAAGTCCTCGGACTACGCCAAGATGCCACCCGACTACCACGCCTACCTGGAGAACAAGATGCGGCTGTCCACCGACGAGATGGCCATGGGTGGTCGCAGGGAATACTACCGCGCCTCTCTAAGCGGATCCAGCCAGGACTATCGGGAGCATCTGCTGGGAACGCCGTCGCGCGTCTCCATCCACAGCGGGCAGATGAACTATCCCGATGGAGACTGGGGATACGGAGTGGGACTGAGAGACGACTACAACAAGAGGCCCAAGTCCTCGTACATCCGTCAGACGAGCCCCCAGCCGGCCATCCGGCAGCGCTCGCGCTCGGGGTCGGGCCTGCAGGAGCCCAGCCTGCCGTATAGCATCAGTGCATTTAAAGCTGCGCCGCAGGGGCCATACAGCTCGTACACGTACCCCAGACTGTCCGAGAACACGTCTTCACTCGTCATAAGCAAGGTAAAGATCAAATCAGCCTCCTTCTAATGATGAGTCTGGCTTTTTTTGTCCTGCAGGGTGTTTTGTTGAAATGCACCAATGCATTAAAGGGGTCCTATTATGCTTTTTCACTTTTTTAATTTTAGTCAGTGTGTAGTGTGTATGTTTGGGCATAAAAAAGATCTAGAAAGTTACAAATCTCAAAGTCCACTCCAAAGGGAGATATTTCGTTTTTTAAAAATCC